GATGTGTAATTAGGTTGATGAGGATGATAATTCATGCCTTAGTAAAAAATTATTAAAATTTAAAAAGATAAAAAATAAACTGCACTTATTACATTAATCTTGGATCTTTATGAAATGATAAGCCTTACAAATGTCACTTGATTACATAGAGGAGGTCAAAGTTGAAATTTGAATTTGATAAGTTTGTTGTTACACTATTCTACAAAACTAATTTTCTTGAAGATCTCCAAAATTATTTGTATGATAAAACTTAAACTCAAGCTATAACTTTGAATATTTGTAACAAGTTTTGAAATGTTTTTTTTTTCGTTGAGCAGTTATCAAAGATTTAGGGATGTGAAGCTTTATTTAGCATTTTTCCTAGTCAGTTGGCTTCAACATTACTAGTTCCATATGTATTTTCTTATTTCTGCTTCCTGATATCAAACTTCAGATTTTAAGTCATGAACTAGACTAAGGTTTTCTATTTTAGAAAATAGATTTGAAAAAGCCTTTTTAGAAAAGTTAATGATTATTTATTTATTTATTTTTTTTATACATGTGTATGACTACTTCAAAAGTAGTGACATGTATTTTGCATTTTAATCTCTAAGATTTTATTTTTCAATGGAAAACAATTTTTCTAAAATTTGAAAATATTCAATTTAGCTTCATTCTCTTCCTTGAAAAAATTATTGGATATCTTTTTGGTTATAAGTAAAAATTTATATGTCTATAAATATTCACTAAGTTCTTTTGTGATGTAAATATGAATGTTTTTATTGGTAGTGTAAATATAATGTAAATATATTGAAAATGAAATAATGTCTACCAAGACACAGGCAACCACATATTAGCTGTAGGAGGTGAGTATATAAAATGTGCAGCAGTATTTTTGACAAAATATTTTAAAGAAATCTAGTAAAAAATGATTGGATAAATTTGAAATTGGCATTTTTGTATGTTTTAAAGTACTTTTGAATGCATACACCCAATTATGAATGCTGAAGAAATTTTTTTTACTTGTATTTTATGGTGAAAGATGTTGGATACTGAATCATAGCTGCCATAAAATTGAAAAGTCAATGAAATTAAAAAGTAAGCTGTTTAAAAATAAGTAGGAATAAGTGAGCTATACATATTTGTCTGATTATGACTAATACAATGAATGACTCAATTCATGGTATTCTCAGCATCCTTCTATAGAACCACATTTCTATTGCCTCAAGTCTCTTCTTAATCTGTGAGGAGATTGTCCAGCATTTGCTTTTTGTTGAGCCATTCCTCTTTTAACTGCCTGTATTTGTTTCTAATGTCTTTGTGTAATGTATTATATTTTGTACCATATCACAGCATTGTTTGCTGTCTCCATTTCATCAGTCATCCGCTCATTTTTTGCATTCTCTAGTTTTCCTTTGGATGATTTAATTTTTTGATGTCATTTAAGCTTCCTTTAATGCATTCCACTTTGAATTTCCATTCTCATTTAGTTCAGTATATTTACTTTTAATGCTGTCAGTATACATCTTGCAATTCACGTCATTGAAAAGTCTGTCATTGCAATTTGGGTGCTACTTTGACTTTCTTTAGTTCCCATAGTTTTACTCCTCCCTGGCAAGTGGTCGCTCCCACAGTTGGCACTTGGATATGTTTTTGCAGTGTAAAACTGCATTCCAGAATCTCTTATTGATTGTTATGTAATCAGTCTGGTTTTTGACTTCTCCTCATAGACCTCTCCTGGGCATTCTTAAAACAAGTTTTGGCTACTACCTGATCATTTGCTGTATACCATTGGGCCCATTTTTTTCTCAATGTTCATTATGGGTTTCTTGTCTGAATTTGCTATTTCACCATCTCACTTATTTCCTACTTGAGCATTCAAGTCTCCCATGATAATTGTAATTGCCTACAATTTGTATTGATCCTTAGCATTGTAATTCTTTTAAAGATATGCTGTAAATACCTTCTTCTTTATTAGTAAAAATTTTGTAGCTTTTCTTTATAGTAGTTTAACTAATCTGTGTAACATACTAGAAATAATTATAAAATGTTCACAAATGCATCTTGTAAATTTCAGTTATTAGTCAAAGAGCCTGATCCACTTTTTTATATATTAAAAATTATAGTTTTTGATTTTTAAAACTAATTTTTAGCTTAGTGCCCTCAGTGCATGTTTTTATTCAAATTTTGATAATGCACATGTTTTAAAGGTGGGAATAAGTATATCATGAATTTTTTTTGTTAAACATTAAAAGGACAGTAATTTATAACTACAAGGCTTTTCTTTTAATTATAAATGCTGAATACCTGTTTTACTTTTCAAGACACAATTTTCCAAGTTTTCAGGTGCAGTTTCATGTCCATGACAATTTATGAAAGAGATTGAGCTGTTCTTCCTTTCAAATCACCTCTCTTTTTCATTGCACTACAAATACTCAATTCTGGAGAGGTTGTAGGCCAGTGTATAACTGATACTCTGATGTTCCAATCATTCCTTGGTGATGTTAGCATTGTGAATGGTTGCATTATTCTGCTGGAAGACAAAAGAATGTTGATGTAATGGTGCTTATTAAATAGGACAAAACTATTTGCTAACACTTTTCTACAATGCTGAACATTTCATTTAGCTTCCATCATCACCAGTTCAGCTTTTCCATTGATTGAAAAAGCTCTCCATTACCATAACAGATCCTCCATGAAATAGAGATGTTTGGAGAAGAAAAAAAACAGTTGATCTTCCTGCTGAATATTATGCTAGTCACATTACATTCTATGATTTAAATTGAACACTTCATAGACCACTACTTTCTTCCATTATTTCTTGGTTGAAGTTACTTTTTTTTTTTTTTGCCTTGTGAATATCAGTTAAAGTGGGTATCTTGCTTCTGAGTCAAAATACAAAGTTGCTTAATTCATTGATAACTTGCTGGATTTTTCATGCAAAGAATATTAAGATCAAGATTATTCAGAAAATTTTAGAGCACAATTCTCTTCTTGGTGTCATGCAAAACAACAATGGACTGCAGTGGTCAGTTTGGGTGGCCTTGTTTGTCAAGCACTTACAAATCCCTCAAAAATTTCTAATAACTGCTCTATTTCTGTATAATAGCACTAGTACTAGTATTGGTGGCCTTTGTAAATGGCCTAGAATTCTTAATCTGGAGAAGCTTGAACTGGGGCTTGAGATTAATGTTATCCTGGGAATGATAGGAGATTAGTCTGGGACAACTGGGTATTTTTTTTTTTTTTTTTTTTGTCTATACCAGGACAATGCAAAAATTTTAATTAAAATTCAGTTATATTTATACTAAAAGCAACTAATTTCTTTAAAAAGATTCTTCTTACCAATAGTGACAGGCTTTTAATAAATAAATCAGACACACACAAAGAGAAATAAAGGAAACAAGTGCTTCTTTTTAAACTAATGAATAAAACTCGAATGATGGTTGAAAGACTTCAGTTTAGATATTGTTATATTGTTAAAGAGGTTATAAACAGACAAAGGTGGTACTCGAGTGAAAGGAACAGCAACACGGGCATAGATGAAAAGAGATTTATTGTAAAAGAGAATACACTACTGAAAGACAGGGAATTGGTTAACAGGCTAGCACTTCCCGAAGCCAGTCTCTGGTATGTCCTGCTCACACTATATTTACTGATATAGTCATTCTACAATAGGGAATAGGCAGAGTGGAACATTCCATTACAACAGATATTTGTATTATCTCTAGATATGAAAAAAATTGGATGAAATTATAAGAACAAATTTTGCTCTGAATTATTTTTTCTGTCAGTTTTTGGTTAAAAACTTGAATGAACCATTAACATTTATGCATTGTATTTCTGCTTATAAATGCTCAACTGCGCCTCCTGCAAATCCCCATTCAAGTACCAGCTGCTCAGCAATACAATTTGGGAAAAGCAGTGATCAAGTGGTGGAATAGTGGCTGCAGGGCACAGACACCACAGTTTAAAGATTGAATGGTTTAAAATATTTCCTAAACATTTTAATGGTGTCTTTATTATGCTACTAACAATTATAAATCATAAGTTTTTAAAAAATGTATTTTGATTTCAGGATGGTTTAAAATATTTCTTTTTGGAAGATGATTAAAGTTGTTTTTGGGGACAGTTCCAGGATGATTGTGAAAAAAGTTAGTCTGAAGGCCTGGCTTGAACGTCATCATATTTACTTAAGTGAAGTGTTGTAAAGAGATTTAAAAAAAAAAATAATAATAAAAGTATTCATACTGGTTTTCTGATAGTATCAAGTTAAATATAAAAACATGCATGTAGTTTATGTGAACTTTTTTCATAGGCACATTGAAATAAATTACCGTTGTATCTAATAAGTAGTAAATCTAACTTGAAGCCTTTATGTGATTGTTGTTATTTTAACTGAACCTGAATTCCATTAATGGGTTAATCTGTTCACATTTCATTTGTGAAATGTAACATTAGTTTGTATAAACATTACCACTTTCATTTGAAATTCTTGTCAATAGAGCTGTTGACTTGGCTGCTTCTTGTTTGGTCATATTTCTGTTTGATTTTTAAGAGTAGCAACATAATCATTTCCTGCAAATAATTTTTCCAAAGAAAAGTTAAATACATCACAAAATAGTACTCTTATGCATATTAAAAACATTTTTAAAAGACAAGAATTGGAAAAAAGAATCAGAAACTCTCAATTCTGACAAATATTTTGATTATGATCACCTTTTCATACTGTGACCTTTTAATTACTAGTTAAAAAAAGATCTTTTCTGTATACTTCTGAAACTTAGATTTGTGTGTGTCTTAAAGAAAAATGCTTGTCTTTGTTGGACAGTTGTTGTCTGGAAAACTTCAGTCAAAAAAAAAAAAAAAATGAAAACTGTTTTCAGTATTAAAAGGGATTCTTAGAGACCCCATAATTCTAGAATCTTTCTGTTAGTCACAAACAGCCTCTACCATAATAACATAAATAACATGTCCACTTATCCATGACAGTGGATGATGGATTTATTTTTATGTTACAGGTGGAATATATGCTCATCAGGTTTGACCATGAAAACAGACTGGGCCAATTGTTTTTGAATTCTTCACAGTTGCTACAAGCTCTCCAACAGCCAGAATTCCAGTCTCCAGGGTAAGTAGTTTTTAATTACTGTAACAAAATTATTCAACTAATTCTTATTTTATCTCTAAATCCTCATACCTTTGTTATAAGCACCAGTTTATGTGAAATTGGATCTTATATTTATAATGAAATTTATTCTCATTATTAAAAGTAGGATTTGAACATTCTACACTAAACTCTTAGGCTTCTCTTCTCATTCTGTTGCCACATTTCTCAGATATGAAAGAAAATTGAAAAGTTTGACAATACAGGTTTAAACGAAATATATGAAGAAACAAACTTTGTTTTTTATCATCCAAAACGTGGATAATTGAACTGATGACTAGAAAATAGGATTATGATCTTTGTTTTAAGTTTGGTAATTGGTTTATAGCAGTAAAAATGAACAAAAGAAATTAATTACATTGAACTGACTATATTAAACAGGAATTGTTTTCATCAAGTTATTTGTCTAATTATTTTTATTTAATTTTTAATGTATTTTTTTTGCCAATTATCAAATTGTCTAAGTTGTAATATGAACATCTTTGTTTATAAATATAAAATAAAATAATTTGGCTAATCTTGAAAATGAATTGAGACAAAAGGAAAACTTTCTCCACCAATGCGTTTTGTCCTCTGATGGACTTTATCAGGGCAGATGTAAAGATTTTATTTTGTAGCAAGTATTTATAAACCGAATTAAAAATTTTAAGTTTTTAGAATTTTTAAATTTAAGAACACTCGTAAATATACTTTAGGCTGTGACAATCAATCTATAATAAATTTTGGTAATATTTGGAATGGTGTTTTATTTTATTATTTTTTTTTAATTAAAACTTATCTAAAATCTGTTTTCATTAAATTGTTTGAATGCCTCTCATAAGAAGGTGCTGATAATAGCTATTTAAAAAAAAAAATGACCAAACTTCAGATTTTTTTTTTTTTTTTTAATGGTAAATTGAGAATATTCCATCTTTCTTGTCCTCCTTTCTCATTTTGGAATTCTTCATTAGAAAGGATACTGGGTCATTCTTTCTGATAAGTAATTAGAAATTACTAATATTAGTAAATGATTAAGAATAAAATAAATGCCTAGAAAAGATGAGTTGATCAGTTTTTACAGCCTGTTCCTTGTGGCGAAGAAAGTTTTGCAGTATTTGAGCTTAATAATGACATTTCAGTTTACCTGCTTTGCCTTTTGAAAGCTATTTTACTCTTCCAACATATCTTTTCACCAGTTAAATTTTTCTGTATCCATTTATACTAATTGCTTCTGTGTTTCTTTATTTTATTTTTCTCTCTTTAAGAAACACCCCCACACTATGGCGACCAGAATATGCAGGGTATATGGTTGAAGGAACACCTGGGAGCCCATTTGGTGGGCTTATGGCTCATTTGAATCTTGTGGAGGCTAACATGAAGCTCAGGTATAGATTTTTCATAAATCTTTTAAGAGTTTATGAACATTTAAATAAGTTAATGATTCTATAAATTGTCTAAATTAAACCAAAACTGTCTTTTTTATTTTGGTTGGTATTTATCCAAAATTGTTATAAGAAATTTAATGTTAGTATTTTATTTTTCAGTTGTCTCTTATTTCACTGCATTTACTATTATAAAGATCATTTATTTCATTGTCACTTTACAATTGTTGATATAATAAGTGTTTTAGATATGTATTCATGTTGGTGAATTTCTTCAAGCAACCTTGAACAGCATCAACAAGTGAAATAGACTTGACAGAATTCAATGAATTATGAAATATTAACAAGACTAACTTAACTCCTCAAATTTAAAGCATTGTTTTTTTTACATTGTTGTAAAAATCACTTCAAACAAATCAAAATTAATTATGAGACTCCATTTGAAATGATATTAGTCATTTGAAGGGGTCATCTGAATTTCTCTACCTGCAACTGACATACTATTATTTTTATTTTTTGTCCCCAGGCAGGTTTTTTTTTCTTGTTAATGTTAGAAAAATGTCACTCTATGCCATACTGAGGTTCCTATATACTTTCAATGTCAGTGTGTGACATCATGCCAACAAAGTGTCCTTTCAGCTGCTCCAAAGCAAAGGGATTTTTCACAAGCCCTCTCATTATCTAGTTCCAAGTAGTTAAGAACATCATTTAATATATATACTTGTATACTACATAAAAATAAAACCTAAAACCTTCCACATATCCAGGGCATAAATGGAAATGTCATATTCACATTATTTTATTTAATAGAAGCTAATATGCATGATCTATACATACAGTAATGATTTGTTTTATCATTTCAGTTATTATAATTTCAGAATTTAACATGCAATATTTTGTCATCTTATGAAAGAAAACTGGTCTAGCAGCTTTGATTGGTTAACATCAGTATACATTCAAGAAACTGGTGTTAGTCAAATAAAGCTGCCATTTTTGCCCAAATAAATTTTGAATTGTAAAAATTTTTACATGTAAGATCCCTATTCAGATATATTTAAAAATACTTTTATCATAGAATAGAGAAAAATATCTAATTGAATCTAACCTAATTAATTCATATTGAAACTGATTTTATAAGCCTGATTTATTTTTTTACTTGGTATACTACTTAGTAAAATACCTGTTGAAATTTAAAATATTTTTTTATGGAAGTTAAAAAATGCTAATAAGGATTGGGCATTAAAGTAATGTCATATTCAATAAGAACATTTTTAATCACAAAAGTAAATATATTTATTTATTTAATATAGAAGTCAAAATTAATTTTTCATTGTTTTAAATTGATTTTGTTCTTTGTTGATGAACTTGAATAAGTATAGCAGTTTCAGAAATAAAGATATTTGAAATTTTAATTCCTGGTTTTTAAAATGTCTTATTTTCTCAATTATTTTTACAGGCGGGAAGAGATTCGAAAATTGCTGGGTCCAGATGAAGTTCCAATGTGTATCACATCTTTTCCCAGGTAACCTGCAGCCTTTATTTTAAGATAGTGAGAGAATAAAATCAATGTAAATTAATTAAAATGTGTAATTAATAAAGTGGTAGAAATAATTAATATTGATCAAAAGAGCACAGTCCACCTTGTTTCATATGAATAAATGGAAGTGGGATTCAATCTTATCAAATATGCAGATTTTGAAAAATCACATCTTTAGAACTTTGTTGGTGTAATTTGATTCAAAGTGAGTCTAGAAGTTGTAAGTTGTCATTTGCACACTGCATTTTCTTTTTTCTGAAGTTGCTAAAAGGGACAAGCCTAACAAAAGAAGAAAAGACAAAAAGTTTGGCTTATTATGAAAAGCATTAGTATTATTCTGCAAAGACTAAACAAATCTAGAACCAACAATATTTTTTTTAATTCAAAAACCTATAGCATTAAGAAACAGCCAAGAAGGCCACTTTGAGATGCATCAAAAGATAAAGGGCCTTGGAAATAAACTTTATTTTAATATCGGAAAAACTGCGCAGAAAATTTAATGATTCTGGCAAATATTTCTGTTTTTAAAAAAAAAAGAAAAAAGTCTCTCACCTTTAATGATGAATTGTTTAAACTTTGTTAATGCTTTTTTTTACTTTTTGCAAAGTTAACTAACCTTTTTCAAACTTATTAATTTTAGAAATATTAGGAATATACATATCATTTACAAAATTTGTTTGAAATTCCTAATCACACACACACACACACACACACACACACACACATAATCAACATTATATTAATAGTATTAATGGAGAATGGTTTTCAAGATAGTCTAACGGTTAGGATTTTAGAAACTAAGACAAAATGGATTTAAATTTTAATTTTCCTCTTTGAAAAAGCATTGTCACTCCTATTACACTAACTTTACCATGGCATATTATCATGAGGCAAAAGCAAGGAAATACTGCACAAGTTTCAATTCCCAAAGACAATTGATGGTCAGTCATCACTGGTATTTACTCTCTCTTGAAATTAGAGAGTTTATTTTTTAAAAATCTTGGTTTTAAACAAAATACTAACTCATGAAATGTGGTAATTGCTTTTCTTCCTTTTTGTTTTATATAATTCTTAACAAATCCCCCATATTGATATTACTTTCCTTATGCATGTGAAGAATGTTACTGTCAGAATGTTCTGAATAAGAAGCTTTTCCCAAACTTTGAAAAATAAGTTATTTTTATCTGTTACATGAATCAATACAGATTTTTACTAATTTTATTACAAAGCTCTTATTGGTTGCATAATCTGCTTTTCAAAATCCATATTACAAGTATATTTTTAACAGGGTTTGTACAGGTCCTGGAAACCTTGCTTTTTCCAGAGTTTGAAAAGTCCTGGAAAAACAGCAGTAGTTCAAAAGTTCCTTAAAAAGTCCTGGAATTTTCTAAATTGAGCTGCCCACATCCTTTTTCTCAGTTCATTAAAGTCAAAATGACAAATCCCAGAAATCTGTTTTTTTTTTTTTTTAGTTGTCAATAATACTTTGCAATTATTGTGAATGGTCATTTGTTTCATTGATTAGAACAGGTTCATGACCTCATAGTTACTGTATTTTCTTGTCTAGGTGATGAGAAAGAATATGAAGACATGTTTTCTAGTTGCTATCCTCACTCAACAAGATAAAAGGTGTCAGAAATAAGTAAATATCTCTGTCAAAGAAAAATTAATTCATACTAACTGAATTTGTAGTTGAAAGGAAAATAAATTATTTTACAGTAATAAAATACATTTTAGTAGAATCTCTAAAAATTTATCAGTGTTTTTTAAAACTTGAACAAATGAAGAAATTTTATTCACATGTCAATTTCAAAAGTAAAAAGTCCTAGCTACCGGTGGGTAAGATCATGCCAGAAAAAATAGATACTTTAGTGTATGTATCTTCAATAATTCACTGAAAAAGCAGTATAGCATGATGAAAAAAAGGCCCCAAACTTAATAAAAACAAAGTTTTATTGTCAAAATATTTGTTATTAAGAGGAAAGGCCAAACTATTTTTTTTTAATTTTTGCTTTCTAGCACGTTAGAAATTTTAATTAAAAAAATCTTTTTTTTCTTTTAATTTTAAGTGAACCAGATTATTTAACTATAAAGTAATTTTTAAAATTTAAATACTTTCAAAAGTCTAATATTTTATTTTTTGTACTTTTAAATTCCCTAAACTACACAGATTGAAACTTAATTTTAGAATATTTAACAACTTATCACATTTTGTATTTAAAAATCTGTTGAGAATGAAATTGCAGAAGGATGATATAATTCTTGATTGAATCATTTTCTATGGCTTATCAACACTTTGCAGGTTATTTATAGCCAGAAGACATTTTTGATTCTAAGAATTTTTTTGAGATAATAATGGTTTTTAGTGATACAAGTACAACTAATTAACCCATATTTGGAGAGAGAAGAGGTGGATTCACATTTTTCCATGTAAGTGAATATAATGAACCCGATTTCCAATTCCCAGCTGTTATTCATTACACAACCTGCACATCCAAACTTGCAGAACTTGATATTCCAAGCAGTCACCTATCTCCATACTGACCATGATCGACATTACTTAACTTCAGTGATCAGATGAGAACTGGTGTTTCAACATGATATGGTCGTAAGCCTATTACATTTCCAAACCATTTATTTTATTGTAATTTAATGTACCCAAATTCCAATAGTCACTCAATGAAGAGGGTTACTGAATCAGATTTTTCTATGGACATAGGAATAAGTGCAGATTATGAGGATATGTAGGATGGATAAACTCAGAAAATATTTTTAGATTGTAAGAATTTATTTTTGTATTTTTTTTTTTATTTATTTTATTTTTTTTTTTTTTGAGATAATAATGGATTTTTTGATACAAGTCTTACTAATTAAATCATATCTGGGTGGGAGGAGAGATTGATTCATACCTTTCCCAAAGGTATTTTGTGTATAAGTGAATATAAAGAACCCAACGGTAATTGAAACTCAGCTCTCCAGTTAACAATTCCAGGCCATTATCCATTACAACACCTACACATATCTAAGCTTCAGCACCTGGTATTCCCAAGTGGTCACCCATCTAGGTACTGAGTAAGTTTGACATTGCTTAACTTCAGTGATGTAACATCAAAGAACTGAAGTATATATATGAAGTATACAACTTACTGGGAACCGTATCAGAAAGTTTGAATTTTTTATTTTCTTGAGTTGAATTTCCTTGGATTTTTTTCTCTTTAATGTTTGCATAGATATCAATCAATTTCTTTTGACAATAACCAGACTTCTTAATTGGAGAACATTGTTTTTTTTTTTCTTTGAAGGCTGTTTTGCGATATTGTAATTAATGCCAACACTAATAGATTGCATAAATGTTTTCTCTCACTTTTGCAATCCATATTTACTCTTCAAGATATACATTTTGGGTATATTTTTTTTGACTCTTCATTTTTTTAAAAGCTTTTTTTAATCTTACGTAAAACAGTTGTACCTTAAAAATCTGCTGCACATTATTGATGAACATAATTTTAAAAAATAAAAATAAAATTGATAAAACATTTGAGAAATGCTGTAGTCAGTTTTTATGTGTTTGAAAGTAATTAGTTATTGTTTTTATAGGTATTGGCATAAAATTATGAAATGACTAATTTTAACCATAAAAAAAATTAATTCATAAAAAATTAATGTGCTCTCTTTTGAATACTAGCTATTTTAAAGATGCCAGATTAGAGAATTATAATTTTTTCTGGCCGAGTTATTTAGGGTTAGTTATGTTTTTAACACACAACCTTAAGAAACTAGTGACTCAAAATTACTAGTGTATAAATGAACATAAAAAAGCCTCACAGTCAAAATACTTGTATCACTCAGTTAATACACTTTTCCAATGCTTTTCTTAGACACATACAATGAAGGTTTCCTCAATGTTTTATTTGTAAAATTGGTGTACAAGCTGCATAAATTGTTACTCTCAGTACAAACATTAATCTTTCTTGAAATATTAAAATTGATGCATAAATTATTTTCCAAGTTGTTTAAAATTAATGAAAAAAAATGTTAATGGTTAGAATAAAAGTAGATTTGAAAATATAAGCAGTTTTAAATTTGCATAATACAGGGTGTGGTAGAAATAACCCCCCCACACACACACAATGGTAAGACATTAGTGGTAATAGTATCTTCATCTAGCTCATGTCCTACCATTATGTGGAAAGTATTTCTGCTGCACCCTCTATATATTCTTAATTCATCTGTTTTGTCAGTTTATTTTCGGTAAAGCCATATATACATTGATTTTTTTGTTTTAGACAAATATTAAGCGTATGGCATAAAATTAGAAAATCAATCACTTAATGCTTACAAATGACAACAATGGTATTAAGTTTCCTTTGAATTATTGGTTGTAGCAGAGGTTCAGGCCTATTTACTTGATTATGCAAAGCACTCTGAGTCAATAGTTACAGCTATTTCCTAGTTTTCATGATTGAAAAGATGCAAGGATACTTGAATTTCTAAATGGCAGAATTTTAGATTGTGAAAAAAAGAAGAAAAAAAAAGTAATAATTTTCTTTTAGAATTGTATCATGCCTAATCCTTGGCCCCTTTTTGTAGGACTGGTTGCCCCAACTTTGTATACCCATCACATAAACCCCAACCTCAATCCGAGGAAAGTTTTTCACGTTCACTTTTCTTCCCTGATGCTGCCATCCATTCAAGTCATCCACGATTCAAGTAAGCTATTTTTTTTTCTTATTCTCATGTGTCTCTGTTGCTCATTATTAGATTTTTTTACTTTCATATAAATTTTATTAGTCATTCACTTTTCATTTTCATCAGAAAATGTGTGTGTGTATTCATAGCCAGTTTTTGAGATGTTTGGGATGATTTAAATTAAGTTTCCTTCATTAGCTTTGGATTGCTGAATTCCCTTAAGGTTTAGAAAAATTTTAGTAAGAGAAAAAACATACCAAAATTATTGTAAGAAGAAAAAAAATATCAAAGATTTAAATAGAAACCTGCAAAAAAAAAATTTCCTGATATAATAATTTAAAAAACTTTTTTCATACTGAAACTATCAGTGTTTCCAAATTTTTAATTTCTTTATGAAACCAGTGATTTAGCTTTTTGGAAGTAGCTGATAAGATATCTTGTGAGAAATTTGCTTTAAGTATTCTTTCTCTGGCAGTGAACTGGCTGAGTATTCAAGATAATTTGTATATGGCAAAGTAAAAGCAATGAATATCTTGAATGAATGAACTGACAAGGTATTTTGCTGATACGACATTGCACAAAAATATCCTGGTCCAAAGTGGTTTAAGTTTTTCAGAGGATCTAATATTGTTTCTCTTAATGTTATTTATGCAAGATAGATAATGGTGATAAACACTTTACTTTTGTTTAACATATTTAATTTTTGGTTGCAAAAGCTTGTTAGTTTTCTACTGGGAATATTTTTGAAGAAAATTTTTTTTTGTTGTTTGTTTTTTTTTGTTTTTTTTTTTAAATAAACACAATTTGCACATAATTATCTCCACATGTGTTATTCTGCTACTAAATAATAAACTATCAAATAAGGCAATGACTGCTGGAAGCCCTTAAAACTCATGTTATTAACCTCAACAGTATCCTATTTCTTGATACTACATTCTATTAATATTCTTTTTCTATGCATATAAAAATTCTGTAACCTGTCATCAAATTGATCTTGGCCAAAAATGATTGTCACCAAAATTAAGTTACACTTTTAGTTTTAGCTAAGACTTTTTTACTTATATTTGTGTTCAAATATCAGATGCTATTGTCATTAGCTTTTCTGAATTTCAATTTCACATTATCATTTATTCTTTCCCTCACTTTCTACATTTGTTAAAGAATGCACTGTGATAGACACTTATGAATTAATGTTATTTTATAATTATTGCACAAGCGAACAGAAGCTTTCAAAAGAAAAGATTTGCACATTTGTATTTAATTGGTTAGAGAATGGAGTTTCTATATGAGATGGAGCCACTGAATGCTGTCAAAAAAGCATTTGGTTTTTCTTTTTATAACAAAATATATTATGTATGTTAGATATGAATATAATCCTCTTTTCAGTTAACATTGAAATAACATAATTCATTAAAACAAACAATTTTCACTTTCATAACTGTTTAAGAATTATCACTTTCTAGTTTAGTTTTCAAACAGATGCAGTTGAATTGAACCTTGAATTTTATATCCAGAACAGAGTAACCTAGCTCACAAGGTTATGTGCTCAATTTCTTATCAATTGCTTGATGAACATTCCTAATTCCAGCTGGTAGCCTACTCAACTTTTTACCTAGCCTTATAACAAGTAATGTTTGACAATAAATGTGTCATTTAAATTAATGCATAACCACATATTAAATATTCCAACAGAATAAAATAATCAGTTTTTCTCCTGTCTTCAGGTTAAAATCCAATATACTCTTTTGAGAATGAGTATTGGAGACCATCAGAAGAAAAGCTGTACATGCTGCTAGTCAGATATATTTTTCTGATTTTCATCAGTTTTGTTTTTAGGACACTCACAAGAAACATTAGGGAAAGAAGAAAAGAAAAAGTTGCCATCAATATTCCCAGTAAGTATAGCAATCTTATTTTTGGAAACTTAATTTTGAATCACCCTTGATTTTTTTTTTTCCATTAATCTTCATTATGATTGAATATAAACTATTAGATGTCATCTCTCAGATCAACAACTATCTCAATATGGCATTATTTATTTTTTTGTATATAATACAAAAAACATGGCACAAGGCCAAAACATTTTCAATATCCAATTGTTAATTTAGCTAGTCACTCAACCATTTTTTATTGTTCCTTTCACCATAACACTGCATTTATTTTGCCCTCTTTCTTGCTGCAATCACCAAAATGTCATGTTTTCCCTATAAAAATTCTAATTAAATTCATAGTTATAATTTCATGGAGTGGGGGGAAGGAAGAAAGTCAATTTGTGTACTGCAATTTAAAAATTTTTCTCAAATGATTTAAATGACACACTGTTTATAAAAATACATCAACATCTATCCCCAGATGAAAAATAATGTTGGAAAATGGAGAAGAAATATAAATGCAAAATAAGTGAAAATATTCCCATATTGTCAAAGTAAACAATTTAATAGAAGATATGAAAGAAATGTGTGTGACTTTAAAAATCCAATATACTCTTTTGAGAATGAGTATTGGAGACCAACAAAACAAAAAAAAAATGGTGAGAGTTGGGACCAATGAACAAAAATCCCTAGCTAAACCAAACTTAATTTTAAAACACTATTCTCTCATAACTTGAGCTGGGCTGACAAGTCATTCACAAAAACACAAAAAATTGTTTTCTTATCCAAGATGGCACTCCAAATTAGCCTACGCAACTAGTGGGGTTAGGGAGAGGATAACCTCTCTACACGCATGGACAGTTTTGTTCTCTATCACCATTTCATCATGATCAATAGCAGTAAGGAGACAAATTTGTGACTACTCAAGTACAATTCATGATGGGTGCCATCAATCTCTGGAATCCCATTCACTCTGACTTCCTTCAAAACTTCCAGAATCTCCCCCTCTGTTCTAGGACCCTTCACTTAACTGCTTCAATTTCCTCAAAGTGAGTACAGTCAACTAAACAGGTGTTGAATTTCTTGGTGAAAAGCTTCTGGTGGTAATCCCAAAGTTATTCACAGATGCATTTGTCTGTAGTCAGACATTGCCTGTCTGTCGATGTGACTGGGGCTATTCCAGTCAGTAAAATTCTGGTATTCTTGATTGCTTTGGAAGACATTCCTTTTAATCTAGCTCTATCATAACTTGGTTCTTGTTAAGCAAGGAGGTCAGCTTTGTCTTAACTATTTGGCCTGTATCTTATTTAACAGCCATATCTACTTTAGATTTGATTTTCATTTGTGCTAATCAGTTGTCAGTTACCATATTCAACAAATGATGTAATTCTACTTTTTATATTGTCCCAACATTTATTCCAAACTATGGTTCCTGTCAATTCCTGCTTTAGGTTTAACTGATCCTGAAAATACTTTATATCCAACAAGTGTGTGTTGAATTTCCTGTATCCAGACATCCTAGATTTAGTCTTATCTAAGTTTATTTAGACTATCCTATAATCCAAATAAACTAAACTATGAAAACTGGAACAACCTAAATGTTGTAATTCAGCTCTTGACTAAAACTTGTTCATTGTAACTAGAATGCTATGTTAAAACTCACCACCTCTATCTATCAAAATTCATTTTACCTGTTTCTCAAGCTCAATTTTTAAATTTATCAATCAAAACAAGTTTTACAACAAATTCAGGTAAAATTTTTATATGTAATGCAATGTAAGTACCCTTCCTATCAGCAATTCAATTTACTTGGGGATCAAAAGCAGCATTCCAGTCATCTGTTAAAACTATTTATCTAAGTGGTATCACAGAGGTGCTTATTCAATGCAAAAAAGCAGATCACTCCTAGTGGTCATAGGACATATAAATCAATGGGAGCCAAAACCATTTATAGTAACAGCACCATCTCCTCTGCAAAAACAAGTGAACAAAATTTACCAATCCAAAAAATGTCTTGATCAACTACAAAAATATGCTGAGAACCTTAACAGAATCTCTTCATGATCACTTGTAATAATATATCAACACTGAGACATTGAAGGTCTCAAACAAGTTTAGTACATTTAAACTCTGACCACAACTCTCAGTCATTTAAACTACTTAATCAGAGAGCCATAATTGTTTTACTAATGTTGTGCAGCCAAGAGAAACAAGCTGGCAATGAGGACATTGATCTGTCCTGTGGACTGTGGACTCATAATAACCTTGATTGAGCTGGCCTGAGACAACCCCCCTGCTGTCTTGCAGGAAAATTAGTCTGATAGCCATATAGAGAGTTAATAAATAAAGGAACCATTCCTGATGAATATTACAAAATTTTTCTTTTTCATTTCTGTAATTCATAAGATGATGCAACATTTTAAAAAATCCTTATTTACCTATTCCAGTATACCCCAAATTTGCTGTGTAAACAGATAAATATTTTGACTGTCAAAAAGTGTTAGGTGCACAAGAAATGTTAGGTCCACACCTTTCTTAGCTGACCCCATGTTTTGAAAGTTGGAACCTGCATATGGAATGCAGATTGGTAGACATAATATAAAGCGTTTAATAAACAAAAATGGGGCATCTATTTTGAATATGAATATAATAACATTTGAAGTAATAAAAATATATATGCACGTGCCTCTCAAAAAATTTAAATATTTTGGAAAAGTTATTTTTTCTCCATAATTTAATTTTAAAAAAATGTGGAACTTTTATATATTCTAAATTTGTTATACATAAAGTAAAATGTTTCAAAGCTCCCCACCATTATTTTGTTGATTTTTTAAAATTTTGATGATTACAACTCATGAAAAACAAAGATCCACTCTCTCAAAATATTAGAATATTTCATAAAATCAATTAAAAATATAAATAAATAGGATTTATAATACAAAAATGTTGACCTTCTCAAAAGTATGTTTATTTATGCATTCAATGCTTGGTTTGGACTCTGTAACATGGTGAAAGCCTTGTTTAAAGTTTTATTGGCATGTGAAAGTTGCAAATGATGGCTTGTAGCTGTGAGAGGGTTAAGCTAACAGATTAAGAAAAATGCTAAGAATCAGTGGGAAATTAAAATAAAAAATGATTCCAAAAATTATAAATAAGAACCCTAAAATAAAGAATGGCTTGAAACTGAGATTGAGTTTACATTGCTGGAAGTGTACTTTTAGTAACCCTGAGGATCAATCATTTATTGAAGTGGAATGTGTCAAGCCATTTAGCAGGGAATATATTAATTTTTCATCCCACCTCACCTAACATGCTAAAATAAATAATATATTTAATATTTATGAAATAGGGGTGTTTTCACAGCTAATTTAAAAAAAGAATTGGGTCATTATTACCACTTCAAGATAGATTTTGATTGGTTTTCAATTTCTTGTGGTAACTTAGTTGCTGTTAGTAAGGAAAGCAATTAGGTGTAAGGGTGTTGTCAGTAGGATTGGGAGTTGACCAATTTTGTTGGCTGAGGTCACAGTTGAGGTCAGGAGCTAGGTCTAGAGTGGATTAGTGAAGCCAAGTGTAGTTGTTGGTGAGGTTGGATGTACACCTGTCTTCGTGGTTGAAATCAACATCATTGCAGTGTTTCTTGGTCTGGCAGTTGTATGATGAGGCTGCCAAAATGTTGAAGGTGAAGGAGTGCCATTTTTATATCTTTGGTTTAACAGGTATAGGCTCCTAGGAACTTCTTTTTTTTTGTGGGATATTGTGATTAGCTATTGCACTTTTGGATTTTTTTGTGATTTGTTTTGTGGACCAGATGTAATGTTCAAAGCCCCTGCATGGAAGCCGACTTTTTTTTATTTGTGTTTTGCTTTCTTAGCGCTCACATCTGCTTGACATGTCTGGTGAAATGTATTTGTGAATCATAGATCTTGATTAAATAATATAACACAATCAAGTCACTTGAGTGGATATAATCTCTAAAACTTAGAGTAGGGATAAAATAAGTGAATATTTAATTTTATTTATGATTATTAATTCTCTCTATTGATATTGAGCCCTTTAATTACAAAGACTGCTTGCCTTAAAAATGCTATCTTTCAGAAATACCCTGGTTTGTTGTTTAAATGTGACCTTTGTTTTATATATAAATTAAAAATTGTTGGAATGTAATTTTGTGTTGTAGTATCAGTGTATTGTTTGCAATTTGTAAAAATAAAAAAAAAACCAATGGATTAAATTTATTACAAAAATATCAAGCTAATAACTGATCTTACATCAATAGAAAATACAGCTTTGCTCAGCCTGAGTATTGGCATATTTAAGTTATTTGTCAAAATAAGTCTTATCTATTACAATACTGATGAACTGCCAGAACATTAGTCACCCTTGGTGATATTTTCATTACACTCAGATCTTTGGATGATTGTAACTAGTAGCAGATATGTACATCTTTAATGAGCTGCACATTGTACTTAAATATGCATGTTATCATTGCAATAGTGAAGTGGGGAAGATGGGGGTCTGTTTATAGTTTGAAGATTTTTATATCTTCCACATAAAAAGACTTTTCAAGCAGTTGATTTTTTTTTCTCACAAGACATATATAGCTTTTGTCAATCAATTTTTATTTGTCTTTTGGTCTCATTAAGTTTGGCTTGCATACACTACCTTTTTAAAATTAATACTTACATGTTGGGAAAAAATGGAAGAAATAAATGAAATAATTTTGGCATATCAATAAGTCCACGGCCTAGTTATGAAAGAAAAAAGTACTTAGTATTTACTCAGTAAATAATTTTTCAATATAGTTTTATTCCTTGTCAATGCAATTGATATTAATTACTTAGACTGAACATTAAATAATGAAAATTTCAGATTAAAAATCAGCTAATGTCATGTTACAAAGCATTAAGGAAAAGTAGTTTTTCTTTTAATATTATCAAAACATTTTAAGTGCTTCTGATCACTGATAATTTATTTCTTTTCTACAGTTATTTGATATTGTATACCTCAGTATTTAAAATCCAAAAACATTATAAAATATTTTCATTATTGTTATTAAGTGAGAGCAGCATGCCAGAAAAGTGATGCTGGGGTGCAAGTATACAAAGCCCAATGTACCCATCTTGACACCCAGTCTGATAAGGGTATACCAAGTACATGCATCATAGCCAAATGAGTACAGTAGGTAATAGGTTTTGAGAAAAGCAGCACATAACTTTGTGGGTGGGGTCTAATTAAAAATAACTTCAGGTCTTCTCTAATTAAGGCTTTTCCAAGTATCTAGATGTGACTCTCAAGTCCCTTGACTGACTCATCCTTCAAACTTAAAAAAAAAAAAAATACTAAAAACCATCTCTTTCAACAAATAATGCTGCCTCACCATTTCTCATTCATGATGCACATTATATCAGCACCAAGGGGGGTTTGTGCCTAAATGGTTATGATCAGGCAACCAACAATGAAACGTGGTACTAAACAGGATATTTACCATAGATCACCTTAATTCACTAAAAGACAAAACATGTACATGTTAACACCTCCAATCAATTATGATCAGAAGCCATGCCTCATGCAGCTACCAGGGCATTTGTTATTATCATTATTATTAATATTAGGCACATGCAAAAGTTTCCAGGAAAAAAAAGAAACTGTTTTCAACTTTGTGTTCAGTCTTTAGTTTTTGGAAAAGATTATTGGAAACTTGTATCGTTAAAGAGGTTACAAACAGACAAAGGTGGTACTTCAAGTGAAGGAACAGCAACACGTGCATAAATGAAAGAAGAGAGGGTTATTGTAAAAGAGAATACTCTACTGAAAGGCAGAAAATCAGGTGGCAGGCTAGCAATTCTTGAAGCAAGCCCCCCAGGTATATATAGCTAATGATATAGTCAGTCTACATAGGTAATAGGGAGTGTGGGACATTCCATTACAACAAAACATTTGTACCTACCTAATCTTCTTTTATGTGCTGTGTCCCTTTGGGTCATGGGTGATCATAGCTCATCATAACTTCCTGTCTTGTAGCTTTAAGCAAGATTGGACTCTTTACCACCCCATTTGTTCACATAATCTTGTTAGGTAGGTTACTTGCTGCTTCTCTTGCTTTCAATATATCCTGTGATTTAAATTCTCCAAGCCCTCTTTCCTAATTGTGTGTTTCATAAATTTCTATCTTTTTCTGATTGTTAGTATAAGTTTCCTTGTTACTATTTTCCTTATGGCTTGTTGCTCATATAATCAGTCCATTCTCTTGCCTCAAGTCTCTTCATCTGTGAGGAAATTGTACACTCCCGATACTGTATGGTATTATTTAAACACTGACCAAAATAATCAGTAGATAAGCCATTTTGAAATTGAGCAGACATTTTTGTTTATTTATTGTTCTTGAATGAATAGCATCAAGAAATCTTGATCACTAAAGTTTAGCAGTCTTTTCCTAATCAAATAATAATAATCTAACGAAAAAGAAGTGAATATTTTGGGATTCCGGGTATGCCTTTGAGGTTTAAAAAAAAACAAAAAACTTTGCAACCTAAAAAGTAGAGCTTTATATAAATAATCTTATTTCAAAAAGACTTTCAACATTGGACCCCCATTGGTTCAATATTAGTACTGAAATTTAATAGACCAAGAAGAGTATTCAGTAGTAAGTGAGAGGAAAAACTGCCAACAAACAAAAAGGATATAAAACATTCATTTAATGCCAAAAATAATTGTATATAATTAAATGATTGTTGAACAAGAAATTCTAATGTATTCTGTGAAAACCTCTATCGCAATTTTTTTTCCACTGTCAATATTTTTGTTAATAAAATTGTTTCTTTGCCTTTTTTTTTCTTTCCTGACCATTGCAGTCTTCAAGGACAAAAACACAATGTCCCCATTTGTGGAAGACTTTTCTGAATATGGAGACACTGGTGAAGCATCTACTGCAGCCAAACCTGACCACATTTACATGGATTCTATGGGCTTTGGAATGGGCTGCTGTTGCCTCCAACTCACATTCCAGGCCTGCAACATTGGAGAAGCCCGCCTGCTTTATGACCATTTGGCTCCTATCTGCCCAATCATGGTAAGTTGCGTTTTTTTTTTTTTTTTTTTTTTTTTTGATTTGTGATTTTCTTTTAATGTTGATATTTTGTATGCTGAAAAATCAATGGTTATCTACATTGGTTAAATACCTTTTGAAAACAAGGAGTAATCTCAAGTCTAGAAGAATCTTGAATGTCTCAAATACAAGAATTTAAAAAAAATTTTTTTTAAATAACTGACTAGGGCCTCAGGCAGTGCTTTTTGACCCACACTATCTTATCAACAAAGATTAGTATAGGAAATTTTAGTGTCTTTTTGCAGTAAAAAAAAACAAGTTGATTTGGAAATTCTTGCAAAAATCAATAATTGTCAGATTTTAATGAAAATTTTCAGGACCTATTCACAAATGAATTAGATTATTTTTTAAATATCTTCTGCATCCCTCTACCATTACTTAATTTTATGAAATTTTAATTTGGGGTATGTAAAAATCAGTGTTTTACTGAAAGACCTTTGCTAATTTTGATGATTAAATAAATCATTCATATAAAACTGTTTTTTCATATCTAATAATATTTTATTCTCTGCTAGATGATGACTGCATTCCCTTCAATTTGTTACAGAAAATAAATTTTATTGATTTATTTTTATATTAATCATTAAAAGTTTAATCCTATATGTATGTGGGCTGCTGTGAGCATAAGAGATTTTGTACTAGAAGCAGTTTTAAGGTCTCCTGTGACTAAAACTTACTGAAATTTAAATTATTATTATTTTTTTTTTTTTTTTTTTTTTTTAAATTAAACCATATTTTTTATTCTTATGACAATCTTATATTTCCATGCAAGTTTTATAGAGCATATTTTACAGAACAAATCTTCATATAAGAAACTGTGAAATAAGATTTTCTACTGTTGTCCTCAGATTTCTATATATCTTTCCTTGAAAACCTTTGAAAAATCACTTCAAAGATGGAACATTTGAGTTTCCTTGTCTCTGTATTGAGAATCATTCACTTTCCTATGTATAGGTATTATCACCAAACTTGATAAAGTTAAAAATGAATTATTTGAATCGAACATAGTTTAACAATAAAACATTTAACTGATACAGTTTGATAACTACCAAACAGTGGTTTATATTTTTAATTGTTCTTAGTTTGTTTATCATGGATTTTTCAAGCCCACAAATGTAGCAATCTTATGAAAATGTACACAACTTTATTACATCTTGAATATGTAACCTTGACCAAAATATTTGTAAATTTTTTTTTGTTTTTGAATGCAATGAAACTTAGCAATATTCTTCATATTGTAATTTTTTTTACTGATCATTATCAATCATATAATCCTTTTTTTTTTTTGTTGGATGAGTTGCAAGCCTGTCTCCTAAAAAAACAAAAAAAAAAAAAAAGAAAGAAAATCATAACCAGAATATAATTATTCTTTTTTGCGTTAAATACTATTCATTCAAATTGGCTATTAAATAAAAATGACAAATGTCATTAAAATATTTCTTCATACAAAAGAAACACAGTAAACACATTGTAGTTTGCATGCACCCAGCTCTTACCATAACCCTCATCTACAAGTTTCACATAAACTTGATCCCCAAATTCCAGCCTGTTGATGGCCTGGATACTTGCTGATGGATAAAATCCAGCTGATTTGTTATCATCAGCCCATAGTGCAGCCACTGGTCGATTGTTGATATAAACCCGAGCATTTACTTTAGATCCCGGATGAGACATTAGATAAACTGATACCACATACACACCAGGCATTGTGCAAATGAACACCCCTGTATCATTGTCATAATTGTCACCTGTATCTACAAGGACCATGTTGAAGGGGACTATAACTTCTTTGGTTGGACCAAAGTGTTTGGTAAGAATGGCAGACATTGCTGCTTGTGAGCGTGGCTGTCCTGATTGGCCTGTTTGCCCTTGATCCCCTTTTTGTCCCTTTTCTCCATGATTGCCTGGGCTGCCGTGTTCACCTTTCATACCTTTTGGTCCTCTGGGTCCGCCTTTACCCTGATCTCCTTTTTGACCTATAAGTCCATGCTCTCCCTTTTCTCCTTTCTCTCCTTGTAAGCCAGGGATACCAGGAACTCCTGAGGGTCCAGGTGGGCCTGAAAGAAAAAAAAAAGAATCACTTTAAATTTCTGTTGTGGATTGAGAAATTATATAATTATTTTTCTTACTATATTTCATCAATGTATAATTATACCTTAAATAGGTAAACAAATTGTGGATTTTGTAACCACTAGAAGGTGGGGGAAAAGCCCTCGACAAATAATGATTCCATCAATTTGAAGATTATATTAATAAAAACAAAGAGGATAATGAAAATACAATAATACTTTATTTAAAAAATTATTACAATACTTTCCAACTTTTAATGGTAAGTTCAGTTTCTTAAAGTATAATATTTTAGTTCGTTGTCAGATTAATAATTTTATCTGATTAACCCTTTCAAATGAACTTAAATTTAGCACTATGTTCCTGATCCAAAAATCAGTCATCACTTTGTGTACAGAATTGTTACCATTTATCATAATTTTTCTAATGTTCACTTGCTTATTGGAATTATTGTGGATATGAATTTATATAATCTCTCTCTCTTGTGTGTGTGTGTGTGTGTGTGTATATATATAATAAAATCAAAAATCACCTCATGTGGAGAATAAGCTTATTTCGACTGATGAAAATATTCATCAGTCTTATTTCTTTGAAAGATATATATATATTCCAACTGTTAAACTCTTGAATCACTCACAGACCACCATAGACACATTTTATAGAATCTATAGCCAACGTTTATTTATTTTTTTTGTCATTTATAGAGACCATTTCACTCTGTTGATGTAGTCTCTAATTTAATGATTGTTGTGCTCAGATTAAATACATAATTATTAAAGGACAAATTTCAAGGACATTTTTTCAACACAGTATGAACCAATATCATTTCATAAGTATTTAATGTCCTGCATTCCTTTTCTAAACAAAGTTTGAATATTTTTTTATCATTTTACTCCAAGCAAGACAATAAAGCCACTAAGATGCAAGGGTTACTGAGTGAGAGAATGAGAAGAACAATAAAAGAACAGACATTAAGAAGACAGAAGATAACAATTGATGTGGTATTTAAATATTTGAAGATCAAAGTTGACTGGAAAACAAGTAGCTGGAAGAAAGTTCCACAATTGATAAGTGTGAGAGAAAAAACTGCTAACATAGAACTTGCAGTTGCATCTAGCCATTTCAACAGTAATGATGAGATCTTGTTGTCAATCTAATACTGTGCTCAAATTCATAAAATCTAGGTACCATAGAGGAAAGTTCATTAGGACAATTACCATGAAAATATAGAAAAGACACAGGGAAGCTACATTCTGCAGTAAAAGTTTTGATTATGGAATTACACAAGCACTACATATTACTGCAGAAACCAGTTATTTCTTGTACATGTCTGTATAGTAAATACATCTTATTAATCAGTAATAGGTTAATTTTAAGTTTCCTATGTCTTATGTTTATTGATTTCCCTGCATTGAAATTGAGAAACAAATGTAAGCAAATTAGGAAACTTATTCTGAAAAAAAATTTGTGAAATTTATAGAAATCTTTTTCTTACAATATCTACTGATAATTTATTCATACAAAAATCCTTGTCATTTAGCGTCTTCATGTATAATTATGCCATGAATATTATTGAAAAGAAAACCATAATGTTACATTGGAATGCTTTCTTACCTGCAGCAGCTGTGGCAGATGCTACATTGACTGTTAAGTTCATAGGAGTTAAAGTATTGTTTTGACATGTATGAGCAGAGTATTTGGAAATGGGTGGAACATTTGGATACACTGGGTCTGTCAGAGTTGAAGGAAGTTCAATTTTATAACTGCTCGTTTCAACTGTAATGTTGATATTTGTCTTTAGTGGGTGTTCTGATGCACTTCCAATTTCATTGTTTTTCTTCATTTTTTCCTCTGTAAATCTTGATTTATAAGTCTCCCTCTCATCAACTGTTTTTCTGTTATGAATCTGTTTTGAGGTTCGTGCATTTTGTACTCTTTTATGCTTTGTCTTTAGTTTTTTACCAGAAAATTCTGGATGAATGTGAGATAATTTCTGGCTGTGAATTGAACCAGTCTTTTTTGAATTTATATATTGTGAATCCATCATGGTGTTATGTGTTTGGACAGAATTTGTTGAATCTTCTAAGTTTTTTCCATTTTCTGTTCCATCCTGGTCCAACTGAATTTTAGTAGTTTGTTTGTTTTCAGAGATTTTTTTGTCTCTGATTACTTTCCGAGTCCCTGCACAGGTCATATCTTGCAGATTGTAGAAAACTATTAGAAGTGTCAGTATGATCCTTATTGCAACTTTATCTTTTATATAACTTTCATATTCCTTGTGGCTTCTGCATATTTCTGGTAATCTTATCCTTAGTATATTCACCATTATCACTAAGAATGAAAAAAAAAACTGATTCACTGATATTTCTAGTAATAAGTATGTAAGAACAAAGGTCTGTAGCTATAACTTCTATCAATGTAATTAAATCTTGTACATCTTATGATAATCTAAGCATACATTTTTATTTTGGTTTTAAATAATATCAGTTATGAAATTTGCATAAATTTGATCACTTGAGTAAAATTTCTGTATTAAAAATAAATTTGTGATTTTTATATTAATAGTAAATGGTAATTTCATTCAGAATTAAAAATAATAGCAGTATTTTTTTAGAATGTCAAATTAGATGATTGAGTTTTGACAATTTTTTTTTTTTTTTTTTTTTTTTTTTTTTTTTTTACTGTTTGATAACCGTCAAACATTAATATTGGTTTTCTATAACAATTGAAATTACCTGCAAAATTGATTATTGTTCCTTTTTATTGGATCTGATTCCTGGTTATGTAGCCTGAGTTGTGGTGAAAAGTTTCTGACTCTTGTCTTTATATGGACAGTTGATGGTAACCCCTTTGCATTTTATAAGTCTGAGAAATAATAACATTGCAACACATATGTA